ATAAACCCCCCCCGCTCATTCTTCAACCACCCCCCCAAGCATGGTTCTGAAGATCCGGCTATTTGGGGGGACGGTCCCGTCAGCATCCCCCCCATTATCTCCATTCGCCCTGAGGCAGTTTGGGGTACGCTGCCAAACGTGTTCTCCATGTTTGAGTTTCTCAAGTTCATCATGGTGCCTGCAGATATGGGATCAACCAGGGGTGCATGCGGCAGGTGATCTGTAATTAGAGGAGCTGCACTGTGGGATGATGGTGTTGGCACAAACAGCGTGCTGTGGAGCACGTTGGCAGAATGCAAAACTCCAGTCGTCCCCCGTGTCCTCATCAGAGCTCACAGCTTCCATCCCCCTTCCAGTGCCCATCCCCCCTCCCGTCCCCCCTCCCACTTATTCTCATTTCCCCCTCCTCCGCGTCCTCCTGCTCCCGGAGACATGGGCACGATTGAATCAGTCAGAACTTTCCCCGAAGCGTGGTGTGGTGAGATTCAAGCATTCGTCCTCATTTTCCTTATCCCACTCCTCGTCCTCCTCCTCCTCCTCATCTTCCTCCTCCTCCTACTATTCCTCCTCTTCCTCCTTCTCCTCCTTTTCCTCCTCCTCCTCCTCTTGATTATCCTTATCCCCCTTCGCCATCCTCCTCCGTTCTCTTCTCCATGTCATCCGTCATCAGTCCCGTTCCTCATCCATCCTCCCGGCGCCGCAGGCCTCGTCGGCCCCTGGCGCCAGGCGTGGCCGCCGCGGGCTGCAGGCCAGGCCCTCCAGCCAGCCTGCACGCTTGCACCAGCAGGGTGAGGGGGGGCTGAAGATCAGACGGGGGGGGAGGCTGATGTGAAAAAAGGGATGAGATAAAGCGAGGATGGATGAGTAGAGGGAGAATGTTGGAGGAAAGAAATTGGCTGCCACAGAACTGTGTTCCCCAACCAGTGCTTGCATTATAGGTTTCACTCTGGTTGGTCTACAATGTTTTTGCATGGTGGGCTTTTGCTTGGTGGCTGGCAGTTGCTGCTTGCTGCTAGCTAACACAACGCACCTTGCATATATACTAGTGCCCATCATAGCTCACACTGCAAATGTTGCATCACATAGCTTGCACTGCACATGTTGTGCCGCGAAGCCGTCGGACACGCCCGCGCTACGTAACTAGCGCTGACTACATGCACCACATCGATCAACATGCTTAGCCTCGCGCGTTGCACTATGTAGGTTGCACGTCAACAGTGCAATGTCTAACTGTTTGGGGTATACAAACGTCACGAGGGGAGGTGGGAACACTGCGGCAAACCAGCATGTGGTGGCCCACTGCTCAACGGTACATCGGAGCTGTGGGTGCCATCTACCCGGAGTAGGGTGCGACCCGTGCCTTGTTCTCCTGATCGTGCCAGGGTTGATCCGGAGATCCTTGATTGTGGCCCCACCTGCTTGTGCCAAACATCAAGCCACGTAAGCGACCATGCCATGGAGATGTTGCCCCACAGCAACGTTAAGTCTATACCCGTGGCTGGTGTAAGAGAGTGCATTAAGTCTTCACGCTTCGCGAATCCTCACCAGCCCATTCAGAAGACCTGCCCATGAGAGTTGACGGGAAATGGAATGAAGAGACAGATTGGGCCCTCTTGGGTTTCTTTTGGGGGGGTCATGGAGCCTTCTTGGGGCCCTTTTGGAACTCTCGCAGGGCTTTCAGCCGGGCTTCGGAGGGCATCCTGGGGCCATGTTGGAGGCCATCGATCAAACGAGGGAAGGTCCCTTAGCTAGCTCCCCCCAGAATAGCCATCATCATAGCATCTTGGGGCACTATTGGGGCCCCATGGGGGCGATCTTGGGCGCGCTTGGGGCAGGCTCGATGGCCTCTCGGGCCCTTCTTGGAGCTCAATTGGGCCATCTTGGGGCCACGCTGAGGCCTCAAACGCGCATCGGAAGCGAAAAGGCGAGACGTCCAAACGGTTTTGAAGGATTTCGGCTTCTCCGAGAAATCCTGATGGGTCTCCAACAACAGTTGGATCCGTCTTGTGGCCTTGTTGGCTGCATCTTGGAGGTATGTTGATAGCTATTGTGAGCCATGTTGGGCTATCTTGTGTTATCTTGGAGGCCATCTTTGGCTTTCTGATACCATCTTGGAACCATCTTGGGCCGTCTTGGACGCCGTGGCGATTCACGCCCCCCGCCCGTCAAGGTCCAGGCGAGGGGGGGGGGAGTCCCGAGGAGGCGTCCAGACGTATTGAGCCTTCTTCTGATCTTCTTCGTGAGCCGTCTTCTTGAGCCAACACGGCCACGAAAGAGGACCGAACAGACATCGTTAGACCGCATGTTGCCCAGAGGGCCGGCAGAAATACACAAGCATTTAGTAAGACATCGTGTTGCACAACGTCGGCCCAACTGTGAAAAGACATGCCCTTACAACAGTCGGGGGCGTCCCCGACCGCGTAAGGCCATACGCGGTCGGGGACGTCCCCGACCGCGTAAGCCCATGCACGGTCGGGGACGTCCCCGAACGCGTAAGCCCGGACGCCCCCCCACCGCGTAAGGCCTTACGCGGTCGGGGACGCCCCCGACTGTTGTAAGGGCATGTCTTTTCAAGTAGATAAACCTTACGCGGTCGGGGACGTCCCCGACTGCGTAAGGCCTTACACGGTCGGGGACGTCCCGACTGTTGTAAGGGCATGTCTTTTCAAGTAGATGAACCTTACGCGGTCGGGGACGTCCCCGACTGCGTAAGGCCTTACGCGGTCGGGGACGTCCCCGACTGCGTAAGCCATAAGGTTGGGGATGTCCCCCATTGTGAAAGGCCTGATGGCATGTCGTTTGACGTTGGGCCCTCGGGTCAGCGCTCGGCCACCGATGAGAAGCTGAAAAATGGTGACGCTGCGCTAAGGGCATGTATATTTTACACATGGCCTTACAACAGTCGGGGACGTCCCCGACTGTTGTAAGAGGGTGTCTTCGAGGTTTGGCCACTGTTGTAAGCCCATGTGTAAATTACACATGGCCTTACAACAATGCCGACATTGAAAATACACCCTCTTACAACAGTCGGGGACGTCCCCGACTGTTGTAAGGCCATGTGTAAAATATACACCCTCTTAGCACAGCAGGTCCAGTCTCGGGCGATCGCGCGCCGTGGCCGACCTCGCCATAAGGATCATGGTGTCGCATCCGTCTCCCCCCATACAAAAGCACGCACAAGGCTATGAGGCCTTTTGTCGATGGGCCCCCTGACGATGGCAGCATGTGCTGAGCAACCCTCCCCTGCTCCTGCTTCTGCTCATGGCACTGCTCAATTCTGTAACTGCTGCTCCTGCTCCTGGTGCTAATCACCCCTGCTCATGATATTGCTCCTGGTACTCCTCACCTCCTGCAGCAGTTGTGTTCGCTGCTCCGAGCTTGTGCCCCTTTGTGTGACATGCGGTCAAACGATGTCGTCCCGTCCTCTTACGTAGCCATTTTGGCTCAAGAAGAAGGCTCACAAAAAAATGATCAAGACGTATCGGTGTCCTTAAGCGTTCGTTTTGCGCCTCCTTCTGCGGGCCGCCCATTCGGCCGCGAGTCGTCAGGGCGCCCAAGATGGCCCAAGATGGCTCCCAGAGGGCCTTAGAGAAGATGGCTTCCAATATCGCTTAAGATAGTCCAACATGGTTCAAGATAGCTAGCAACATGTCTCCAAGAGGCTCCAAGAAGACCGCACTACTGATCCAAATGCTTGTGAGGACCCCTCGACCTCCCCGAGAGGCCACAATCCTTCAAAACCGCACGGAGAACCAGTGTTTTTGGACGTTTCGCCTTTCGCTTCCGATGCGCTCTTGAGGCCTCAGCGCGGCCCCAAGATGACCCAATAGAGCTCCAAGAAGGGCCCGAAAGGCCATCAAGACTGCCCCAAGAGCGCCCAATATCGCCCCAAGATGCTATGTTGATGGCTCTAAGGAAGGGACCTAGATAAGAGCTCCAAGAGGGTCCCAAGCGGGCCCCAAGACCCCACGAACGAGTTAGTCCCACCAGCCCTCTGGGCTTAGGTGGCATAACACGGTTTTTTCTTCTCTCTAAACCTCCCCCTACCCCCTCCCCTGGGCCTGGATGGGGGGGGGGGGGGGGCGGAGGCGCCGCAGCGTCCAAGATGGCCCAAGAAGGTTCCAAGAGGGCTTCAAAGTCGCAAGATGGCCTCCAAGATGGCCCATGCTACTTCAAGATGGGTCAAGATAGCCTCCGACATACCCCCAAGAGGCCCCAAGACAGCCCCAAGACGGATCCAAGTGCCCTCCGAGCCCTCCACGGCGCCCTCCAAGATGCCAAAACCTTTCAAAAGTCTAGGGAAAATCTATGTTTTTAGCATTATCGCCGCTTCGCTTCCGATGGGCTTTGGAAGCCTCAAGATGGCCTCTAGATGGCCCAAAAGAGGCCCAAGAAGGGCCCAAGAAGGCCAACGACGGCCCGAAGATCGCCCAATAGGCGCCCGAGAGCGCTCCAAGAGGGCCCCAAGATGCCGTTTGAGAGCCTCCGAGGGGGCGATGCTAATTGAGGGACCTCCTCTTTTTGAGCCATGGGGCCCAAGCTGACCCCAAGAGGCATCCCAGCCTCTCCCCACAGACCCTCCACCCCGCCCTGTTTGGCCCAATATGGCTCCAAGAGAGCCCTAGATAGGCATGGCATAAGATAGCCAAGCATGACTCAAGATAGCCTCCGACAGACCTCCAAGAAACCTCAAGACAGCCTCAAGATGGCCCAATATAGCCGAGCAGGCTCAAGATAGCCTCCGACAGCCTCTAGCCGAGCATGGCTCAAGATAGCCTCCAAAGAGGCCTCAAGAAAACTGGCGATCAATTCTGGATGGGCTGGTGGGGATACGCGAAGCGTCAAGAACCTTTTACGGGCAATCACCTGTAAAAAACTAACTCGGGAAGCTAACCCAATGTGTTCCTGACACTCCTCACTCCCGCAGCTGTTCTGTTCGGAGCTCCGAGCTTGCTCGACGTCAGAATCAGTACGCGTCTGTACTCCCAGACATACAAGCAATGGCCCGTGGTGCCGGTGCTCGTGGCGGCGGCCGCGGCGGTCGCACCGCCGGCCGTGGAGGCCGAGGAGGCTCCGGAGGCAATGGCGGCGGCGGCCGCGGGCAGGCTGGGGCGCCTTCCCAAGCTGGCCCAGGCCCTGCCGCGCAGCTCCCGACCACCGATGCCAACGCCTCCATCGTGAGCAGGGTGGTCGAGGCCAAGGCCTACTTGGAGTCGCTGGCCCCTTTCAGTGACATCCATCGAGCGCTGCCGGGCGACATCGCTGCTGGTGATGGCCACATGGCCGCGTATGATGGCGAGTCTTGCGCGACTGCGCTCAAGTCTCTTGGCAAGTATATCGCTGGCGGCAACTTGTGGTGGGTAGATCTGACGTCCTCGCTGAACATGTCTTCGGTCCCGGTGAACGTGGCGTCCGTGGAGCGCCTCGAACAGGACCTGTTCAGCGAGCCTCCGACTGTGTTCCCCGACAACATCACGGTGGGCGTCTACGAGCCTGCAGACCCCTCCCAGACCTTCGGCCGCCTGATGCGGATCAGCCCAGAGGACCAGTGGCTACCAAACTGATGATGATGGTGAAGATGAGAAGGAGGGGGCGGAGGTGGAGGAAGAGGAGGAGGAGGAGGAGGAGGAGCATGCGGAGGAGGAGGAGGAGAAGGAGGAGGAGGAGGAGAAGGAGGAGGAGGACGACGACGATCATGAGGATGAAGAGGGGAAGTGAAGAGAGAGGAGGGGGAGGAGGAGGCGGAGGAGGAGGGAAGAGGAGGAGGATACGGGGGAGGAGGAAAACGAACAGGAGGAGGGACGGACAACCTTTTCCCAAGTTGAAGAGAGAAGCAAGACAAAGAACAAAAATGAGGAGGAAGAGGAGGAGCAGGGCGGAGGCGCCGTGTGGCCCATCAGGGGAAGGTAGTGGACAAGGTTGGGTCGTTTTGGCAGCCCTTTTTGTTTTTGGTTTCCTCGGTGACGGGGAGCCCTCCATCTGGCAACATTTTGTCTTACAGCTCTTGGGCAACTTGTTCTTGCTTTCGCTGGGGCCTTTGAAAGGTCTGGACAGCGGTCCGCAAACCAGTTACTCCATCAACCCCTGGACCTGGATTGGGCGTTCCCCGAAGGGTTGGAGTGTCCAAGATGGCCCAAGATGGCTCCATGTGGGCCTTAGAGAGCACTCAAAATGGCCCAAGATTGTTCAACATGGTTTCCAATCTGTTCCAAGAGGTCCCAAGGCCCCTCCACGACGGCCCGAAGTGGCCAAGGATCCTGCCCAGGAGGCAATCAATAGGCCACACTCTTTCAAACACCTGAGGACAATCAATGAGTGTTGCCTTCTCGCCTTGTTGCTTTCGATGGCTTTCCGAGGCCCCGAGAAGGCTCTAAGAGGGCCCAAGAGGGCCCCGAGAGAGGCCCCGAAGAGCCCCGAGACTGCCCCGATAGAGCCCAAGGGCGCTCCAAAAGCGCCCCAAGAGCGGCCCAAAGAGGCGATGATCCTAGGCGTTCCCGAAGGCGGGCCCTGATAGAAGCTCCTACCTTCTTTGATCGATTTCAACCACGATGGTCCCAAGATGCGTCCAGGATGCCCCAAGAGGCGACCGAGATGCCTCAACGAGGCCCCCAAGACACCCCGAAGAGGCCCCACGAGACCCCCCGGGGCACCCAAGACGCTCCAAAAGGCCCCTGGGACTGCCAAGAGGCCCCCAAGACGCTGCACGTGGCCCCCAACAAGCTTCCAAGAGATATCCCTGGAGATTCCGAGAAGCAACTTGCATGGGCATTGTTTGAAACGATGCCCATGCGAGTTGCTTCTCAGGATCTCCAGGGATACGCAGAGCGACAAGCAGTCGACATTGCACACCCTACTTCACGCAGCACCCCGAAGGAGATGGTTTTCGCCTTCTACCTGGGGGCCGCGAAGCACTTGAAGGACAGCCAGGGGGATGAGCTTATGGACAGGGCCACCTTGTGGCGTCGTGCGGCCCTGTCAGTGCCACTGGAGTTCGTGATGTGCGAGAACGTCAATGACCTCTACTGGAAATCAATAAATCTGCGTGAGTCCATTGGAACGAAGTACGCCACTATGTACCGGTCCCCAGTCCAGCGCATCTTTGAACTGGCGATCTGGAAAGAGAAGCAGGAAGCTGAAACTGGGACCAACATGGACCCCGAGGCTATCTCCAAGGCGTGGTCGGAGAAGGTCCAGCTCAGCCCGATGGCGGAGGCCATCTCGCCAGGCATGGTGGACGCCTCCATGACAGTGTGGAATCGCCTTTTGTGCGATCCTGAATGCCGGTCGGTGGTCATGGAGGCGGAGTCTTTCTGGGGCAAGCACACGCCGTGGGATTCTGTGTATAAATTGGAAGCTGTGGTCAAGAAGGTTGGCCGCTCGGACACATCCTTCACCAACGCGAGGTACTTGGGTAGCCCACGGCAAAGAGGGAGGATAGGGAGTGTGAGGAGGGAGGAGGACAAGGAGGAGTAGGAGGAAGAGAAGGACGAGGAGGAGGATGAGGGATGCTCCTCCCAGGGAGGAGGGGCAATGACGAAGGACCCTGCCCAGTTTTCTCACTGAACCGCTGCCTTTGACACGATCCTGCTCATCCTTTTCCTCCTTCTCCTCGTCCTCATCCTCCTTCTCCTCTTCCTTGCCCGCCTCTCCTGGGAGCCCGCGAGCCGCAGCGCCACGCCACTCAAAGTGGCCGCTCTAAGCTGTCCTCACAATCTCCTTATCGTCCTTCTCCTCCTCCTCCTCATCCCCGTCTCCTCCTCCGCCCGTTCCTCCCGAGCCTTTCCCCTGGCTATCCTCCCCCGCTCCCTGCACCTCCTCTCCCTCTTCCAGATGTTGCGTTGTTGTTGTGCCTCGTGCCGCGCAGGTGGATCCTGCACGCTGTCTCAGATGAGATCAAGAACGGCACGCACCATCAGTCCTACTTTAGTGTCCGCATGCTCTCTGGCAAAGGTCAGGCTCAGAACAAAGGGGCGTGCGACATCTACATGTACCGCAGGTCCCTGAAGCAGCACTGCATCAGCTCCATCCTCGGCGGCCTCAGTTTCCAACCTGACATGAAGGATCAAGTATCTGGTTTGTTCTCATCCCACGCCGTGTATCGGTCGTGGTTTGGCTACGACAGCCAGACAGTGAGCCGCCAGTGGCTGCACGGCTTCCCCAAGGCCTTGCAGTACCTCATCATATTTATCGGGGAGATTGTTTACGGGGTCAAGTACGACACAGCCATCCGCAGCGGCACCAGGTTCAACACCACGTGCGAAGAGTTCTTTGAGAAGGACGAGGTGAAAGTTGACCTTGACAAGCTCCTGTCAGGGTGCCACAGCCACCTTGGCACGATTCCAGAGTCCAGCAGGCCATCGGTCCCAGAGGTTCCCATGGATGAGGCGGCCGAGCATGCCGTGGCCAGCGGCTTCGTGGTCGACAAGCAGGATGCGGCAACGCTCGCCTCCACCCTGGGGGACCAGACTGCTGGCATCAAGGAGGCGCTGGAGCAGAAGTTCAAAGTGTTGGCCAAGCTGTCTTCGCTGAGTGACACTGACAAAGATGAGTTGCGCCAGCTTGAGAAGTTGGCCTGTCAGAAGGTGGCGGATCATTGCTCTCTCCTGGTGGAAGGGAACAGCCCTGCGACGTGCGCGCGGGTGATGGGCGGGTCGTTCGTCGGCACCCTGCGCGGAGACGACAACAAGAAGATCCTCGTCGTGTACGACAACAAGTTGGCCGGGGAGAGCGTCTCCACGCCTCACCTGAGGCTGCCGCCGTTCAGGGCGGAACGCCTCAAGAAGCTCATTCAATGGCTGTTGCCAACACCGCCGGCCTATACCCATTTATGTCGCAAATTGTTGACGCTTCGCGTATCCCCACCAGCCCATCCAGACACGATGTCCAGGGGAGTCAAGGTGATAAGGGAAGTACGGGGGCACGCAGAAGAACAATGGGAAACCATTCGATGCCCCAAGAGGGGGAGGATGGTGGAGGAGAGGGAGGAGGATGAGAAGTAGGAGGAGTGAGAAGAGCATCCTCGGATTTCTCTTGGGATTTATTGGAGGCCTCTGGGGAACATCTTGGGTGCCTCGGGGATCCTCTTGAAGCCTCTTGGGGCCCTTTGCGGGCCTCTTGGAGGTATCGTGGGCGCCTCGTGAGGCCGTCTGGGCGCTTCTTAGGGCCATCTTGGGGCGCTCTTGGGATCCTGGGGAGCGCTCTTGGGGCCATCTTGGAGAAGATCGATCACGTGAGAAAGGTTCCCTTACTGACCCCCCCCCCCTTGGGATCCCCAGAAGTCGCCTCTTGGGGCGCTCTTGGGCGCTCGTGGGGCCGTCTTGGGGCTCTCCGGGTCTCTCTCGGGGCCTTCTTGGGCAATCTTGGAGCCATCTTGAGGCCCAGGATGGCTGCTGGACGCTAACAATGGAGACAGCAAACCATCCTGTTTTTCCATAGGTTTGGGAAGGATTCTGGCTTCTTCGAGGCCTCCTTGAAGATGTCGAGGCCTCTTGGAGCCGTCTTGGAACGTCCTTGGGGCCTCTTGGAGCATCTATGGAGCCAACTTGAGGCATCTTGGGCTGTCTTGACCCAACTTGGAGGTCATCTTGGGTTCCCTGAGTCCCTCTTGGAGCCATCTTGGGCGAACACGTACCCTCCGAGGGGCGTCTCGCCCAGGTCCAAGGGAGGGAGGGAGGGAGCATCGGGGAGGGGTAAACCACTCCCCGAAGGGACAGAAGGGGGTTTGAAGAGGAAGCTCTTTAGACCACCTACGCCCGGAAGGCTAGTGGGTTTGGCGAGGGCAGCACGGCGTGATATGGAGGATGTAGGGGAAGGGGAAAATCGTAATCGCTTTTCAGCGCTGTTAGTTTGCAACTGCAGGGTGGGCGGATCCAGGCAGTCAACAGTACTCGTGCTGGCGGCGCAGGCGTCCTGGACGACGGTGATGCATGGCTGGTCTTTGATGGTGGCCTGCAGGGCAATCGGGGGCCCATCCTTAACCAGTTCCAGACCCACGACGGTAAGGCCCTGAAGAAGTCCTACAAGACCTGCCACCTCCATTATTCTGAATCTGCCATGGAGTCAAGGTACGCGCGCCTGAAGGACGGGCACGTGCTGCAGCAATTGGAGACGGTCTACGTGGTGAGCTCTGACGAATATCAGCCTGCCAAGAAGAAGCGCAAACACTTCGACCAATGTACGAATGCTGGCACCATGATTGGCCCAGTAGGCCTCCCGTCATATGAGTCTCAGTGGCTGCTGAAGTACAGTGACAAGAAAGATCTCTACGGCCCCATGCGTGTTGCCACAGGCGGAGCCCAGGAGATCCCGGACGCCGGGGCCCCAGCCAAGAAGCGGCGCCTGGACACAGACTACGAGCCCTCCAGCTGGCACACGATGATCGATACGATCTCGTCGGAGTTCATTCATTCTTATCCTGAGGCTTTCGCCGATGCGCCTGCCCCGTCCTGTTTGCCTCCTGTTCCTCCTCCTCCTCCTTATCCTCCTCCCTCTTCTCTTCCTCTTCCACCTCCTTTTCCTCGTGGTCCCTCTCCTTCTCCTTCTCCTCGTCCTTCTACCCCTGCCCCTTCTCATGTTCCTCCTCATCATCATATTTGTACTCGTAATCCTCATTATCCTTGTCCTCCTCCTCACTCTCCTGATCCTCCGCTTCCCCCTCCTCACCCTCCTGCTTGCCCTCGAATGGGGAGGGGCACGCCTTCGGGCTGCCGGTGGCAGCTGGGGGGGCGCCAGGGGCCTGGCGATTGGGCCGGCGCCCGAAGGTCAAGCTAGGAGGGAGGGAAGATGGGATCGGTGAAGGGATGATGGGATGATACAGGAGATGATGAAAAGAACTATCCCAGTGCGACCCTACCTAGGAGTTGGAGCCCCTAGGAAAACAGCATTAGCAGTAACGGTAAAGCTAAGCTAAAGCTCAGCTGAAGCTAACCTAAAACTAAGCGAAAGCTAAGCTAAAGCGAACCTAAATCTAAGCTAAAGCTAAGTTAGAGCTAAGCTAAAGCTAAGCTAAAGCTAAGCTAAAGCTAAGTTACAGCTAAGCTACAGCTAAGCTACAGCTAAGCTTACTCTAAGCTTACGCTAAGCTTACGCTAAGCTAAAGCTGAACTGAAGCTAAGCTAAAGCTAAGCTACAGCTAAGCTAATTCTAAGCTAAAGCTAAGCTAAAGCTAAGCTAAAGCTAAGCTAGCGCTAAGCTAAAGCTAAGCTAAATTTAAGATAAAGCTAAGTTACAGCTCTGCTAACGTTAAGCTAGCACTAAGCTAAAACTGAGCTAAAGTTAAACTAAAGCTAAGCTAAATCTAAGCTAAAGCTAAAGCTAAAGCTAATATTAAAGCTAAAGCTAAAGCTAATGGTAAAGCTAAAGCTAAGGGGACGTAGCCGGGGGAACCGCGGGGCGGACACTGGGGGAACCGCCCGGGGCGCTTTCCACTCCCCGGCCCCTTTAAGCCCAGAGAGTAAGAACCCTTCTAGATGGAGCCTAGGGAAAGAAAAAATGCCAATTCACTTCTGTGCAACGCACTTGCGGACCCTTGTAAAGCGGTTATTGACATGACCCCGGTGGGCCCAGAATGGGCAGTGTCTTGCATTGAGGCTGGCATACCGTACATGGCCATCTGCTATACCGAAGCCCACGCCACTTTGCTCAACCAGTGCTTGTCGCACCGCATATTCCAGAAATTCACTGACGAGTCCGACAGCATGTTCGTCCCCAGAGCTGCCAAGCTCGTGTCCGGCGACAGCAACAATGGTGATAAGGATGGGCCCGAGGACGAGGAGGAGGTTGGCAACAACGGAGAGGAAGATGACGATGGCGAAGACGTCGAGCCCCCGGCGGTGCTCAAGAGGAGGCCGGCCGCAGCCAAACCCACGGACACGAAGAGTGGCACTCGCCAGTCCCTCTTGAACCGTTTGCAGGAGCTCGGCGGCGGGGCATCCGACGAGGACGGAGATGAGGAGGATGAGTGAGCCCCGGGTCTGACACTCTAGGTGTGATGCGATGACGACGCCAATGCCTAGCAATAAAACTCATACCACAAAAGCATAGAGACATGTCAGATCATGATTTGAGGTTTGATGTTATTGCGATGGCGGTGGCTGAGTTGTCGCGCAAAGTCTCGGACCAGGGATGCGTTTAAACCTCGCTGTGGCACTGGTGGCGCACGCGCTTCTTGCTGCCAGTGGGGAAGGAATCGACAGCCACTTGCGTGGCCATGTCAGGCTTGTCTGCAGTTTGACATTCGGCGCTCCGCCGTAGCGTTGGCCTGGCGTTGGCCAGGGACTAGCTGTTTAACAACGTTTGGCTGTCGAGTTTTGAGCTCGGGCGCCCCGCCCGTGTTGTGCTGGCGCTGTTTTTTGCCAGTCGTCTCGGTCGCACTCCTCGCGACATAGCAAATGTAGGAATGTTCAAGTGGATGCGCCATTGGATTGTGATCTCGTGGTGAAGGGGCGCGAGGAAGACGATGATAATGAGGAGGAAAGCAGGAGGCAGGATGCCGAGGGCAAGTGTGATGGTACGAGTGAGGGGGAGAGTGAGGAGTGAACCCCTGGTCTGACACTCTAGGTAGGATGCGATGACGTGTTTATCAGGCCCTTACGGGCTCTGGTCGACGCCACCGCCTAGCAATAGAACTCATACCGCACAAGCATAGAGACATATCAGGTCATGATGTGAGGTTTGATGTTATTGCGATGGCGGCGGCTGAGTTGTCGTGCGAACTCTCGGACCAGGGGTGCGTTTAGAGCTCGCCTAGGCACTGGCGGCGCACGCGCTTCTTGCTGCCAGCTCGACGATCGGTGCTCGGCCGTGGCCCAAGCGTTGGCCTGGCGTTGGCCAGGGACTAGCTGTTTAACAACGTTTGGCTGTCGAGCGTCGAGCGCCCCGTGCTGTGCCGGCGCCGTTTTTTTTCAAGATCGTCTTGGTCGCACTCCCCAAGACATATCAACGTAGGAGTGTTAAAATGTACGCACGGTTGGATTGCAACCCCGTGGTGAAGGGGCGCAAGGAGAATGATGATAACGAGGGGGAGGAGGCAGGAGGCAGGAGGACGAGGGCAAGTATGGCGATAGGAGGGAGGAGGAGGGCGATGAGGTTTGGACTGAATGATGACAAGGGAGGACCGCCCATCGGTGCTTGGCCGAGAGAATGGAAGGAATGAGGAAGGAAGGAGAAAAGGAAGGAAAGAGGAAGGCGGCGCCGCCTGCCAGGCAATGGCGCAGGCCAGCAGCAGCGGGCGGCCTGGGGCTCGCCCAGCCACCCCTCTTGT